TTGGTATTCCAACGTGCCACTAGCAGATTCCAATAGATTCGACCAGATAAACGCAAGTCAGCTTTTTAGGCTTCACCTTCGTTGTGTCGCTCTAGCGTCCCAGGTTTGGGAGAACAATCCCATGCCACAGCGGGCGTCAAGTGGAGGGACCATTTCAGCATTGAAGCCTGGCTTCGAAGCGGGTCGAGCGGATGACGACAGGGGATCATGGAGCGGATGATCGTGGGGTAGTGAACATTGGAAATCGCTCTTAGGTTGGAGGCCATCGCTAGGAGCAAGGACGCTACTAGGGGCTCCTGGCCATACTACTAGGAGCAAGAAGCTACTAGGAACAAAGGGCATCGCTACTAGGAGCAAGAACGCTACGAGGTTGGAGGCCATCACTGGAATCCAACATACTTGTTGGATGTACCATGATGTACCATTGAGTGCCTCATTATCACTGTTGATATGCAAGACCTTCATCAGCTTGAAGGCATGACGACTATGCGGTCCAGTTGCATTGCCGGTGAGTTGAGTGGTGCAGGATGGTGCAGGCAACTGCAGATTTCGGATGTCCCATTTCCAACTATATACGTGTGGCTTTCAACACGGATCTCTTCAATTCTGAATCCCTTCTCCAGTTCAAAAGCGAAGAAAATGCATTTGGCCACGATGCTGGGTTGCTTTGCCGAGGAGTGTCCAGATCCCTGCCCTGGAACGATTGCAACCGTTCCTCAGGCTGTCTACGAAAGGATGTCCTGCGTTGCGTTGCGACTGTGGATGATGCTTGGAGGTTTAACTCGGAAAGCAACTGTAGCAGCTACGAAGGTGTGGATGGCCTTTGCGAGTCGATTAGAGAGACATTTTCATTGGACGAAAAGCAGATTCCAAACATCTCAAAGGATTTGACCTGTGCCGCACAAAACTCAAGGCTGATTTCGCTTTCGAGGCGTCCGAAGGCGCAGATCTTCGACTTGGGCTTTGGCAGCGGTGTCATGGCCGCCATGTGCCTTGCGGCCAGCGAGGCCGGTGCCACCGTAGTCGGTGTGGACCTGGCAGATAAGGTGTCGGTGGCCACACGGAGACCCAGCTGGAGATTGGATGAAGTCATTCTCAGTTTTAGAAAAGATCGCTACTAGCAACAAGAAGCTACTAGGGGCTCCTGGCCTTACTACTAGGAGCAAGGACGCTACGCTACTAGGGGCTCCTGGCATCGCTACTATGAACAAGAAGCTTTTAGAAAAGTCTTTCGGTAGGGCTTGGGAGTTGGAGTTTGTCGAGGCATGGCCCCTTGTTCATAGTTTGTTCCATTTGTACATCCACGTAGAGACTCATCCTCTCTCTCTCTTGTTTTTCATTTTTGGCTGGTGGGATGAAGGCCACTTGGAAGTTGCGAGTTTGTCAATGCGTCAATACAAGTCTTTCTTTGTCGTTACGCAGCACCAAAACAGCTTGGATGGAAACTCAGTGCCTTTGCGAGTGTGTCGTCAAACCAAGATGCAGAGTCATCCGATATCCGTTTCTGGGTCCGAGGAACATGCTTTTGAAGGATGGCCCATTTACGCCCTTCAATGAAGAGCAGCAGCTTGTTTGAGATTGAGGTGCTCAAAGATCACATTTGTCGCACATTCAAACTTAGGATATTCAGACCGTTGAAGGACGTCGGCGAGTGGCGGATCCAAACACCCCCAATGTCAGCCTTCCATACATTTTAGTCAGCCGAGTCAACTCAGGTTTTCTTTCCTGGGCGGCGATGCCTTTGAGTATCTCAAGAGGTGGCAGCCTGGATGAATTCGGACAAATGAGGTGGCAGACTGGTAGCTCCTCTCTCCTAGTAACAAGGGCATCGCTACTAGTAACAAGAAACTACTAGCAGCAAAGGGCATTACTAGTAGCTTCCCTTGAGCTGTGGACATTCCTTGGCCGGGACCGAGCACCTTCCCTTTGAAAGTCATGGCTTTCAGACGAAGGAGCCATCTCACCGTGCCGAGGAAGGCCGAAGGGAAGACCTTCGACGTCGTCTACGCTGGGTGCTCCTTCGACCCCAACACTGAGCAACTGAAGCTCTTGCCACTTGGCTCTGGCAGAAATGGCAGAGATGGTCTACAAAAGCTGCCTAACAACGCATGGCTAGTGGCTAGTGATCTTTTCAGATAGGGTTAGAGATGGCAGTTCACTTCATTCAGTCTCTGAAAAGGCCTTCTAGCCCAAAAGCTAGTTCCCTGCAATAGTTCTGAACCCAGGGGCAGCCTCGGAACCTCCATCGAGGCCTCCGCTGATCAAGTGAAGGCCCATTAGGACTCTGTTCCATATTCAACATGTGAGGCGTCATGTCTTCCGCATCCTCGGGCTTTAAACACTTTGTCCCCTGCTCAGTTTGGGACAGATGAAGCCTGATGGTGCGGCAGTCTTCAACTTGGGCAACCTAGGAATGCAAGGAGCGCTGACAAATGTGTGATTTGGGGCATGGGGGGTGGATGCCTGAAGACTGCGCTAAGAGGACTATTTGTAGGGCTCCCCAGGTGGGGTGATTTAGGGTTGCACCATGTGGGCTGCCTGGCCCATGTTTCTCAGTGCCGCGCTCCGCGGAAGGAATGTACTTTGTCGCAGACAAGGGAAAGACCTGTGAGCTTTTAATGCGAGTGCAACTTGGAGCAAAACGAATCATTACTGTATGTTTCTGTGACAACTTAGCTGCTGTATGTTGCTTGCATAGGGCTGAAGAAGTCGTTGTAGGAGGGCGCCCAGACTACAAGACAGGGCTTTTCCTAGTCAGCAAATTCGCAGGACTAGTACCTTCTACTCTGAACAGAGTGGGTGACCCGCTATTTTCCACTGCATTTGTCTCACAAATACTTCAGACTGTTTAGTCCGATAAGACTGTCATCTCATGTTTAACAGTCACTGTCTGATAAGACTTACATGTTCCAACCAGTGGACTGATGTGGAACATGGCTCAGGCTTGCCATAGAGCACTATGCTGTGTATAGAGTCTACTTAGTGGACCCCATGGACTTACTAGTAGCTTCTGGCCACTAGAAGCGATGGCCTCCACCTAGTAGCTTCTTGCAACTGCTACTAGCAAGGTGCCTTTCTACTAGTAGCTTCTTTTTGGAAGTAGAAAAGCCCCTTGTTACGTTCGTAGCTTCCGAGGAACTTCATGATGGCCGAAAGTCCTTTGACACCACGAGGAAAAGAATCGATTCCTTTGGATCCTTTGAGGCCGAGAGCTGCGTCTTACACGAGAGTATCATTAATTATATATATATATATACTTATATACTCTTATCTTCCAATTAAGAGCGATGGCCTCCAACCTAAAGATGTCTATTCTTTTTGAAAAAACTCAGCGGGCCATGGTCGGTTGACATCCAACGACAATTTTTGTAAGAGAAACAGCCCGGGTTTTGACACAGCCAGATCACCAACTTGCGTTTCGTTACTTGCCGATGCTTTTAATGCTTTTCTCTGTTTATTCGTGGAAGCTGAAAAGATTAACCTTGAAGTGGATGCTGATGTCATGGCTGCCTTCCCAGGTCAAGAAGGCGGAACCAGCATCCATCTACACATTCTATAGAGGAATCATGAGGAATCATTTGAAAGAATATTGGGACACGTTGACAAACTGCCATGTCCATGCAGGTCCATGCATGTGTTCTCACACTCGAACTTTCCCAACACTCATCTGCCGAGAGCACATGTCCAGATATTTGCCACACTTCCGAAGAGTCGAGCTTTGTCAGGCTGGGCCAATGGATCAGAGAAAACGTTTTTGCCGACAAAGAGCTGTGAGGAGCAAATTCTTAGACACTCGCTGCCAAACAATGTTTCAAAGTCTCTGAAATCAGGTTGCAAAAGTCTGACATCAGTAGAGTCAATCGATGCTAGTGAAGACAGATAAGCTAACCCTCAATTCTCAATAGAGTTACCTTACCATGAGCTGAAAGCGGCTGAAGCGGCTGTGACGCTCGGTCTTGGCAAGCCCAGCTAGCTGGGGCTAGAGCCGCCAGGGTTTTGTGTCCGAGGCATCGTTGGAGCGCTGTGCCGCTGTGCCGCAGTGCCTGCGCACGCTGCGCCTTCAGCGAAAGCAGAAAGATTCGTCAGTTTCATTGTTTTGTCAGACGAGGGACCTACCTCATAGTTACATTATGTTACATTGCTTATCATTCTCCTGAACAGTGCATACTCGCAGAAGACACAGTGGCAAAATCACCAAGGTGTAGTAGCACTCCCTGCCTATCCCTGCATTGTCCGGTGCATATGCAGGTCCATTGCATCATCGCTAGTAGGTTGGAGGCCATCGCTCTTAGGTTGCATATGCAGGTCCAAGGAACAAGGATGCTACTAGGGGCTCCTGGCCTTACTACTAGGAGCAAGAACGCTACTAGGAGCTTGTGCCTGTGCTGTTTGGGCTCAAGCTCGCTTCCGCTGCATCCCGCTGCGCGGAGTCTCCGCGGAGTCGAGTCGATGCAGGGAGCTGGTTTGGACTATGAGGCCACGAGAAGGAAAACGACTTGAAGTGAATTGATGCCCTTTGTTCCTAGTAGCTTCTTGTTGCTAGTAGTAAGGCCAGGAGCTACTAGTAGCTTCTTGCTCCTAGAAGAGATGCCCTTTGTTACTAGTAGCGCTTTTGTTACTAGTGAATGATGCCCAATTAGCTGCCAAAGCATGCCACATCTTGTTACACTTGTATCCTCTTGTCACTTTGGAAAAGCAATCACGATGTATTATGTGACTCATACAATAACAAAAACTTTTGGAATATCCAATCATATGTTTCGATCCCTAATCTGACATCTTTCTATTCAATGCGTGTTCTGCAAAGAAAACGTTGTTTTCCCAGTTGGGAGGAGAGTTTGACAGAAAGCAGCCAAATACATTGAAATACATTGACATTCTCAAGAAGCTACTAGGTTGGAGGCCACCTCTAGTAGGGTGGAGGCCATCGCTATTAGGTTGGAGGCCATTACTATCTTTTCACCATCTACAAGGGGACCTGTCCCGGCTTTCCGCGACAGACGCTGAGCCAACACAGCGACGCCACACGAGATATTGGCGTGGCGGCGCAGCGTTTGAGCACTGCACTTGCAAGGGCGGGATCTTGGCCACTTGAATAAAGTTTTTTGTGTTATGGCTCACTTGGCTCCGGTCAATTTCCACTCAAACTAGATCGCGTGACCTTACGGGGATTTCTGAGACTCGTACCATTTTGGATGACCTTTGATGCTTGTCAGCCCTGGGTTTTGCAAAGCAGGAGGAGGCTCTCCTCGTGGCACTCCACACTTGCATAGGAGAGCATAATCTTGAGGGTGCTCCGTACTTCCACATGTTTGGGACAGGCAGAAAGAGAGCAGTCAAGCCCGAGGAGGATTAGCCTTAGAATGGCTTGGACGTGTTTCATTTCTTTAAATGCATTTTGTATTTCTCTGTAACAAATGGATCCATGAAATGATAAAAAGACCAAATGGATGGTGTTCAAATGTGTTTAAATGATGTGTCACTGGACTTGATCAGTAAGGCATGGCCGAAGCACAGATGATCCCCGGGCCTCAGACATTGCACAGCCAGGCGGAGAATCTTTGGCTTTTGGACAGAAGAGAAATCTCCTAGATATTTGCTAGCAAGAAGCTTGAAAGAACTACTACTAGTAGCTTTTATAGGGTGGGGGGTAGGCCGCAAGTAGAGCTAGGTAGGGGTAGCTAGTAGGAAGTGAGGTAGCTAGCTAGTAGTTTAAGTAGCTACTAGTATGGACGCAGGATAGCTCGCGAACTCGCCCCGCTGCCCTGGCGGGCGGCGGGGGAAGCTTCCTTGAAGAAGCGCTCGCACTAATGATTTGGTTCCTAGATCTTCAGGGAAACTTAACTAGTAGCTTCTTGTTACTAGTAGCTTCAAAGCCCCGAGTTCAATCCGGCCTGCTAAACCTTCATGCTTTCCACCTCTATTGTTTTTTCTTTTCATCTCTCTTTTCTTCTCTTTGTGACGAAGAGACTTGACGAGAACAGAAAGACCAGACCGTCGAGGTGGTTTTCGGCGCTTCTTTCGCGGGGAGGACGCCTTGGCGCGGCCACTGATGGAGGACGTCCGAGTTGCCGTCGAAGCGGCGAGTCTTGAGAGTCGCTGGTTGAGGTAGCTCGCTTAGCGGATTCAACGCTTCAGTCTTGTTCCGTCTTTTTTATTCTTTTTTGCAATCGTTGTTGCATAGATAGAAGAATTCCTGGAATGCTAAAACAGACTTGAAGGGTAGGTCCCTGTAACTTAGGCACCCATTGTACCTGGCATATGCCATGCGACGAACAAAGATGTGGATAAATTACTCGACCATCAGTCCTACTAACATGTTGTTCCCTATCCCTATCCTTTGCTGTTCGCTCCTTTTCGAGGATGTAATGCGGGTGCAGCGGGCCGAGACCTTTCATGCCCGCCTGGCCTCACCTCTCTTGCCCTTTTATGTGTCTCAGCGGATATGTGACGCACTTCTGAGCGGATCGGTGCAGGTTTCATACACGGAAGGTTTCTCTCCCTTTATGGAGTGGTGAATTGCATATCATCTGTGAGACACGCGTTTACGCGACAATCATGCAATGCCATGCTCGACAGCCGTAACCGGGCACCATCAGGGAAATCTGTGCACCGTGCTAGTTATCGGGGAGTGGTACACCAGTAGATTAACCAGCTTCTTTGTAAGGAGCCTCATTAGCAAGTTTGTTTCAATTATTGGTTGGGGTTTGCTGTTATTGGAGTATCATGTCTCCAGCACATGAAGGCCTCTGTGCCTAAGCCATTGTGGCTTAAGAAGAACCCAAAGCAGCCCTTGCGCCCGTGCCTTTGCCTTCACCCTCGTTTGCGCCATGACTGTGGCTGCCATCCCAGCGCCCGTGACCACTCGCAGCCAGCGCCGGAAGTGGAGCGAACGACTCTTCGTGGCAGTGCTCTTCATCGGCCTCGCAGCTCGCGGCGGCTTCTCGTACCCACGAGGCCAAAGACGGACTGAGTCAAAGAAGCTTCTTGTTACTAGTAGCGTCCTTGTTACTACTAGTAAGGCACTTGTTACTAGAAGCGATGCACTTGTTACTAGTAGCTTCTTGTTACTAGTCAAAGATCCAAGGAGGTTCGGAAAGGAGAAAGGTCTGCCCAGGCCACCCACTATGCGGATGTCGGAGTGTCGAGAGTGTCCGGTGTGCCCTGACGGTGTGTGGCTGTAGTGAGATCATTTGTACTAGGAATCAGGCATAGAGAGATTCACAGAATGAAAGAACAAACACATTAATTCGTAAGATCTTTTGGGGGTTTTCACCCCTGTTACTAGAGCCATGAAGTCGAAGTTGAATTGCTTTGGTTTTTCTTTCGAGTAGGTTGGAGGCCGGAGGCCATTGCACTTAGGGGAGGCCATCTCTAGTGGTTCCTTTTCTTCGGACCGATCCGGGTCCAGGAGTCGACAAAGACTCATGAGACCGCAACCAGAAATGAGATTAAATTAGAATCAATTCTGGCCAAAAGAGAAAACCAAAAAGACACAAACATTCACAAGTTTCAAAAGAGGGATGACATTCTTGATGAGCAAAATGGCCTGCGTTTCTGAGGGAGATCTTGACAAGCTTGACATTCCTACTCGCAAGAAGTTTTTAGACAATATATTTTGAAAGCAGTTGAGTCTATTCCCCAAACAGGGCGTAGTGGAATGTTGGTGAAGCAGGAAAACGATTCAATGATTGCACACTGCAGAGCGGTTTCAAACATTAGTAAAAGAAGAAGCCCGACTTTGAAATTCTTTCATGACGCTCACGACATGTTGCAGTTTGGCGACGTTTTTCGTGATTGGAGGCCTCAACTCCACGGCCTCCAATGCTGCTACGCCCGGGAAGGCCTCCCCTATGGCCTTCGCCCATGTGGCAGCACCTGTGGAGAAGGTCCCGTGAAAGCACGCTGAGACCATGGTTGAAAGGGATTTGATTGATGTAAAGAAGAAGTATGCTTTTTTTGCAGTCTCACTTGCTTACTTTGTTTGGTTTTTGTGAAAAAATTGGGTTCTGTTTTTCTTTTCAACAAGTCGATCATCGATGGATAGCGGCGCCCAGGAGGACGGCGGCTACGGCCGTATCGCGACACTGGTGGCCATCCCCGCCTTGTTCGTCGTGGCCCGGCGCAGCCGGTGCTGCAGGTCGTCGTAGCTTCTTGTTACGTTCGTAGTAAGAATGCTCCTAGTAGCGATGCCAGGAGCCACTAGCGTTCTTGCTCCTAGTAGTAAGGCCAGGAGCCCCTAGTAGCCTTTTTGCTCCTAGTAGCGATGCCCTTTGCTCCTAGTAGCTTCTTGTTACTACTAGCGATGGCCTCCAACCTAAGAGCGCTCGGTTGATGCTTCGGTCTTCCCAAACGACAGGATTGTCCTTCGCCTTCTGAGCCTTCTTGCCCAAAGACAACTGTAGCCTACTACCCACTACTGCAGTCATCTATGTCAATGTGAGAACCGATTTGGGACAGAAGTACAGCACAAACCTTGACTGTAGACTGCATGTGATCACCATGGGAGACGCCTGAGCATGCTCAGGTGATGTGCCGTCAAACCAGCAAGGTGCTGAGGCGTGCAGAGGCCCCGAAGCATGGGCACGGAAACCCAGAAGCTTGGTCGCAAAGAAGCTACTAGGGGCTCCTGGCCTTGCTACTAGGAGCAAGGACGCTACTAGGAACAAAGGGCATCGCTACTAGGAGCAAGAATGCTACTAGGGGCTCCTGGCCTTACTACCAGGAACAATGTTTGCCAATTATTAGAAACAATAATTAGAATAGAATTAAAAGCAATGTTTTTGTCATTCGTTGTGGTGCTCGCTTCATGCTCGCCCCATGTCTTGAGGACATCCTGCCACCTGTGATGACAGGCCTGTTCCTCTGGGTGATTCTCATGCATCTTGGCCAACACAACTCTTGATTTGATCGCACTGTCAATAAACCCGGTTCACCTATCTCAAGCCAGAACAAGATCGACTTTGATGGTTTTCTACTTCCGAGTTAACAAAGGCACCAAACCGTTTTCATTTTTCTTTGCCCTTTGCCCTTCAAGCGGCTTAGCTTCGTCAGCGTACTTCTGAGGAGTGGCATCCAGCAGGGCATTGTCCCGGTCCCAGGCTTGGAAGGCAAGCAGAATGAGCCACTTGGAGCGGTGTTGTTGATCGCGTTACCTTTTGGGTCGATGAGGAGTTTCACTTGGAGTTGAACAGTGATGGAACTTTTGCAAACTCTGCCAACAAGAAGCTACTGGGGGCTCCTGGCATCGCTACTAGGAGCAAGGACGCTACTAGGGGCGTACTACTAGGAGCAAGCAGCTACTAGGAGATGCGTGAACTCTGTATAACCTCATTCCAGATCCGGTCGATGCTCGAGGTTCCTCCCAATCGTCTTGACCTTCATCGCGGGCTACGGGATCATTGTTTTGGAGGAGGTCACCGAGATCCACAAGACGGCCACCGCACTGATCTTGGGCGTGATGATGTGCTTTGGAATCCACTTGGAACCCATGTGAAAACACCGTTAACATACCGGGCTTATGTAGAAAGCTACTAGTAACAAGTGCCTTACTAGTAGTAACAGGTGCCTTACTAGTGGTAACAAGAAGCTATTAGAAACAATATCTAAATATAATTCAATTAGAGTCTAATTACAATTACTAGCCAAGGAATCTAATTAACACCCATGTATCCACATACTTTGGGACAAACCAAGTCACTTGCATCCCACCCTCTTCTTACAAGAATAATTGATCCTTTTGTCCAACGTTGCCACTTTGCATGGCATGCTCAGTTGGGCCTTCATCGGCACCGGCGTGACCATGCCCAGCGAGGACGTTGTGCATGGAGACAACCTAATAGCGAAAAAGAGAACAAAAACAGAGCCTAGTAGCGTCCTTGCTCCTAGTAGCGATGCCAGGAGGCCCTAGTAGCGTCCTTTGCTCCTACTAGCGATGGCCTCCAACCCACTAGCGATGGCCTCCAACCTAGCCAGCTTACTGAAACTCTATAAACTTATGAGTGCGCTGAGCCATCATCCTGGGAGAGATTGCAGCACTTTCAGTTACTTTCCAATCCATGGTATTCCCAAGTAGATGTCGCCAGCCCTTTTTGCTCTTTCAACGTGGCTATGAAACAGCTCAAAGTCGCTTGACCAATGCTCGCTTTGTGCGCGACTGGGGCACCATCGAAGGCCTCATTGACAACTGAAGTGGTAGGAGTTCGAGACTGCGGTCTCCGACACGCTGAAAGACATCTCTGAGGTGGTTTTCTTCCTCTTGGGTGCACTGACCGTTGCTCGGACAGATGTGGTGACGAGCGGTGAAACGGTGAAACAAGTGCATCGCTAGTAACAAGTGCCTTACTAGTAGTAACAAGAAGCTAGTAGTAACAGGTGCCACGCTAGTAGTAACAAGTGCCTTACTAGTAGTAACAAGAAGCTAGTAGTAACAGGTGCCTTAC